GTGTAGTAAGGACAAGAGGTCTTCAGGATGCAGGGGTGCTGGAGTAGAGGTCAGGGAATAACTATAAAATGGATGCCTTGAAACACCATCTACTTCCACACCATTTCTCTAACTTTTTTCTCCTCTGCCCTTCCCAGCTTCTTCAAAGTGTCTATACTTCTGTGGAACTTCCTGAACTTCAGAGTTCAGTGTAGTAACATTTGACCACAGAATTCAGAAGAATTCTGAAAAGGAATTTTAACTCATTCACTCAATGACTGCCCAAGGTCACGAAGAAGAAAGAGATGGAATTGGTTCCAAGACCCAGGCCACCTGACCTGCATGTCTCTCCAGGGACCTCAAATTACTGACATTGTGGACTAAAAACAGAATCTGCAAAATTTGCCTTTCTTTTTCTTTTAATGTCTTGTTTTGATTCTTTGGTTTCTGTCCTCCAACCATGTGTTGTACAGTTATTTCACGCAAAATATTGAGTATCTTTAATCGCCTATAAACTCTCAATTGCTACATAAACCAGACAGTCTAAGAAAGTGTACACAACTTACAGATGTGTCCTATAAATACTTTAAAATGTGAATGTGGCAGAATACTTACTAAGCTTTTATTTCATAATGCAAGACATATAATAGTCATGTAATAGTTCCTATCTCTACTGCTTATATTCTAGAGATGATAAAATTCAGCTAGTTGGTACATTTAAGACTGTTCATTTGGAGACAGGACTTAGTTTTTAGAGAAGACGGAAGTGCAACGCTGAACCATATTGTATTAATTTGTTGGTGCATGAGAGTTAAGGCTGAGTCCCAATCTCTATGTCATTCCATTCTAGTTGTCAAAGAAATGATTCAATTATCGTCTTTTACTTTCAAAAAGCTGCCTCCTGATAGCCCGCGAACCTCTTTCACCTTGCCTTGTAGAAATTCAAGTATTAAACAGTGATCGCGGCTTTCAAAATTTTGTATTTTTGCTCAAAAGGATTGTCTGAAACGAGCACCGTACTCTGGGTTGGGATGCAGGATAATTTTCTGGATGGACTGTCACGAAGCTCTTCCTCCTATAAAGAACTCACGCTCCCTTGACCTAACAGGCGAACACGGACTGGTGGAGAGTTCATCTCAGATGAGACGGATACTTCCGAGAGCAAGTGAGCGACCTCACATGGGAAGACCGAAAAACATCACCACGAGAAATCTCATGTTTGCAGGCAAGGAAACAGACCAGATGGATTCCAGCTTTGCAGGCAGAAAAAAAATCACTCACATGGCACAAAAATATGACACGACCGAGTCCATCCCACTTCCCTTCCCTGATCAAGACTTACCCAATCACAATCAGCCCCAGGCTTGCGCTCGCGTCCCCTGGGCCAGGCCCCGCGCCTCGAGGCCTGGGCGCCAGCGGGCGCGCACACCCCGCGCGGGCCCCCTGCAAGTGACGGGGGGTCGCGCGTCCCCGCGGCCCTGGGGCCCCGGCTCTCCGCCCGCCCAGCGCTGCGCCCCCGGCCCCTCTAGCTCCGCACATGCCGCGGAGTCGCGTCCGGAAACCCAGAGACTTGAGCGGCGCGTCCAGGGGCGCTCCCGGGCGGGCCTGCGCAGCCCATGGGCGCAGCTGCTCGCTGGGCGCCCGGGGTTGCTTCCCACTGCAGAGCTTTCGGCCCCCGCAAAGACCAGATTCCTGCGCCGCGGGGCGACGCCTCCGTCCCCTCCGCGCACGCCCTTCCCTCCTCCTCCCCGGCTCGCAGCACTCTCCGCAGAGGTCAGGCTGGGCAAGGTGGCGGGTCCCCAGCGCCCCCTCTTCCAAAGCCTGGTCGGGATCCCCGCCCCCATCCGCCTTCTCCCTGCGCTCTGTCCACCGCCCACTTTCCCAGGACCCAGACCTCCGGAAAAGCACGTGGTTCTCTGTTCCCGCTGCCAGAGGCCAGATTTCATAATTCACTGACCGCGCTTTGGCCGCAGGCCACGCGGCGCCTGCCCCACCTCCCTCTCCTGGCCACCAGTGAGCCTGCGTCTGGCCTGCCAACCCCTTCCCCCGGGGGCTGTCTGGGTGGGTCTTTCCGGATAAGTGTTTGCCGTCCTTAAAATAGAATTTCTCAGACCTGGCAAATACAAGATGCTAGCTGATCACTAGGAACTCTAGGTTAAATTATGCACCAAAGATGTTTTCTTTCATATCCTCTATCTTCAAATAGATGTTTTATCTTATGTAGTTCAATAACTTGTCTAAAAACCAGAGACATACCTGCGTTTTCGTTTATTAATATGTGCTTGTTTCTATCTTGGAGTCATACGGTTATACCAGGACCAGAGTCACTGGGTTGTGTTCTGAGATAGCAAAATTACCAGGACACCATTTTCATAAACTTAAAGAAAACGGATTGAATTAACTGAGATAAAATACATTTTTAAAGCAAGGTGTGAAAGGGTGGACTCTACCTATGGCACGCCTTTCCCATTAAAAGATTTTTTAATAATTATAACTAATAAAGTGGATGCTCGCGTACTTTCCTGCCTGTCCTCTATTGCCATTTTCTTTTGAGATCTGAGGCCTTCTAAATCTGAACAGGTACAAAGAAGCCCACCTAATCTTCCTGCTCAGTATCCTGCACTTACAGAGCTAAACCAAGCTTGATTTTTTTTAGTAGCGAAAAATTCAGTTTATTTATTTTGTATATAGCATTTAAGGGACCTTCAAGATGATGAGAAGAAACCACTACCAACACCAAAACAATCATCCGTTCTTGAACTAAGGCTATTAGGATCCTCACCATGTTTATAGATAATTAGTAAGTTATAAATTCTAATGAGATTTTAAAGACCGATACATACATATAGGTATACTTGCAGGGTTGTGTATCATAAAAACTGATGGTATCTGAAGTAAACACATATCTTCTAATGCTATTTATATGTAAAGCGATACATGACAGGGAAACAAAAGAACATTATGATCCATATATATGGTAGCTGCTTTTTTGTTTAATTGTTTAACATCCATACTAGGTAGATACAATTATCCAATTTTAGTGATGAAAATACTGAAGGCAGAGACTTTAAGTACAGTGTTCAAGGTCACTCAACTAGGATGTGGTAAGTGCATCCCAGGTATTTATTACTGTGACAAACCACCCCCATCTTAGTGGATGAAAACAACTGTCATTTTATGGTCACAATCCACAGAATTCAGGAATTCCGGCAAGACTTGGCTGGGTGATTCTTTTACTTCATGTGGCATCGAGTGGGGTAACTCAGTGGTATTCAGCTGTCTTCTGGGCTAGTCCGGAGGGTCCAAGGCTTCACAAATATATCTTGGGGGCCAGGGGATGTCAGGGGGGCTGTGCACAAATGGGCCCTTTTTCCATGTAGTCTCAAGACATCCCCAAGTGGTCTAGCCAACAGGGCAGTCATAACTTCTAAATAGCAGCTCAGGGCTCGAAGAAACCAAGGCAGAAGCTGTCATCTCTATTAAAGGCTTGCCTGGAACGGGCAGTGTCACTTCGACTGTACTCCATTATCAAAGCAGTCACAGATCCAATGTATTGGAAAAGAGAAGCCACCTCTCAATAGGAAAAGTGTCGAAGAATTTGCAGACATCTTTATTCTGCCATAATCCACCTTCTGGCTACACATTATTCACACTCCTCTTGCAGGCATGCACAGTATACTCAGGCCTCTCAAGAATCTCAATTATGTTCAAGTGAGAATACCGAGGCTCCTCCTTGAGGCATTTCCTCTGGACCTAAAGACCAGTGGATTAAAGGGACAAGTCAGCAGCCTCCCACAAACTGAGCAATGGTGAGATAGAGATGGATAGCCACAATTGACACACTCGTTTGAAAGGAAGGGAAGCAAGAAACACAGCAGTCATTGGTCCACGGCTATTCAAAACCCAAGCAGGCTCAAGTTGCCCATTCCTTGATTAGGACCCACTTCTGCTTCTGGACTTCTTTCCATCTCTTAGCTTGCCTTCCAGGCTCTTCCTTCTACCCTTTGAGGAATCCTCATGAATATGAAATGGTCCAGGTTTGCAAATAAGTATGCTCTGGGCTTGCTTCCTTCCAGAGAAGGTTGGGGTGGGGGGGACAAAAGTCTGAGTCCCTCCTAGTCCAAGCAGGTAGTGCTTCCACCACTCCGCCAATATAATTCTCTGATGTAAATGTTGTGCTTTTCTTTGAATTTTATCAGAGTTCACTTCACTAGTCATAAGCCACATTGACCTTTCTTTCTGGGACAGAAATATATTTCATTTAATCCAATATATCTAAAATATTATTCCAAGGTGTAATCAATATAAAAATTGAGATATTTTAAATTACTGCAGATTTTAGACTTACCAAGCCTCCACAATCATGTGAGCTAATTCCTTAAAATAAATCTGTCTCTATCTCACTATCTTTCTCTATATCTATGCATCTATGTATCCATCTATCTGTAAATATATCTCTATAAGTCTATAAATAGACATAGAGATATAGATGTAGACATAGATATAGATGCATCTAATTGGCTCTATTTCTCTGGAGAACCCTAATACAGTGGTGAAATTGGAATGAAATACAGAGTTTCGTTAATAACAATGCATGAATGTTGGTTCATTAATTGTAGCAGATATATCACAATAATATAAAGTATTATTAATAAAGAACAACTTTTCTGTAAATTTAAAACTGTTCTAAAATGAAACTCCTCTGCACATTTGAATATATTTTACAAGTTAGTAACTGCTTTCCAAGAAGAGCAATAAAACAATATCATGTTTTATTATTTCAATGTGAATAGTATAAGAAACTTAGAAAGTGGCAGGTAAACTATGAAGCTTATATAAAATTATAGAAAAATGTGGAATTAATATAGTATTTAACATAAAAATGAAAAAATTATCTAGGTTGCAAAATTTATAAGGACATTATTTTTAAATGTTTATAAGAAATCATAGTGAGTTATATTTGACATTAAATAATAGAAATTTGCTTTATATGAAATTTTTTTCTAAGAACACAGCCTATGCAAAGCAAAATACAACTATATATACTTGATTCACTTTGGATTAGAACATTTTTGTGCAATATTGCTAGAAAGCCACTAGATGTCAATCTTTCCTATCTTTTACCACTTTAAAAACCATGCCAAATTTTTTTGCAAAATTTAGGATTTAGTAAAAATTCATTCCAGTACACATGTAGAATCTTGTTTGGATCAGAAATCACAATTTGCAGTGAACAATATCTAGGATGCACAGCTAACGGAAAGTGTCTAACATACACCATGAATGGAGTGCTCTCACTGGCAGGCAAATAGGGTCAAGAACCTACATACCTTACTTCTAAACCTCACAACAACCTGAAAGGTGGCTAATTCTTTTTGTACAGAGAAGCAATATTAAGTATACCATCAGAGATAAACAGTTTTATCCAGATCGTCCACTCTAAAAGATTCATCTCAGATCTAATTTGCAGATATCTGTTAAAGTTCCCTTTTCATAAAGATGTTCTATGTACATCTATTATAGATATATCAAAAACATTCTGTAATAATAGTCACTGCATTTCTTTAATATTTGCCATATCCCTGTCCATTTTAAGCACTTGATATATGCTAATGTATTTAAGCTTTGCGATTACTCTTTGAAGGGGGGAATACTGTTAGCATTGTTCTGCAGATTCATAAACTGAGGCACAAAGTTGATGGCGTGGCAAATGCACATTCTAGCTTAGGCTGTTTGTGACAAAGCTCACATCACACTTCTATGCAGGATATACCCCTCAAAAGCCCTCTGTGAATAACAGAGAGAAACTAAAGCTCACTATATTTAGCAAAGAATAAAAAATTGTTTTAAATTTAAAAGAATGCTTTATCTAAAAAGAGATAGCAGAAGGAAAAAGTATTAGACTTTTAACATAAAGAGTGTAGAAAACTTAGAAAGTTCCAAGTAACCTATGAGGTCGACAGTTTTTATCAAATTATAGAAGGATATGGAATTAGGATATTATTAAAAACAAAACACCTATATTGGTTATTTAAAAACCCAACAACTTCTAAATAAGTGCTGAAATCAATCAAGAACAATAATTATTAGGTGAGATCATATGAAATTGCCAATAGCATACTGTTTTGAACCAGAAAAACAGAAATTTTATGTTTCAGCTAATACGTTGGGTAAATGGGTTTTATCGTATTTATTAATATTCAATATTTTTTCTTACTATTAACCCTTTACTTTGTGATACTTTAGTCAATAGAAAGTGAAAGAAAACACAAACAATTCAAAAACTTATAAATATTTTTACAAAAAATTCATCACACTTTCAAAATGAAAACAACCGACTAAATATATTCTATGAAGATTTCTCTTTCTCATACTACAACATGAATATAGTCAATTTTTAAAATGATTTTTAATATTTGATTTTATTTATTCTTTTAATTAGTAGAGAGGAAAATGAAGACTTTGTAATAATTACTAGATCACTATTATAAATTCGTTTTATTTTGTATTTTAAAGTCTACTATGTCTGATATAAAAGCTACACCAGCTTTCTTTTCATTTGAATGTGCATGCATTAACACTTCATCCATACATTCATGTTCGACATTTCTGTATTCTTACATTTAAACTGTCTTTGATAAACAATATAAATTTGCTGCTTACAGCTTAAATTCAGAGAAGATTAAATTTAGCAGACTGGGCTGGGGGCTCTAGCCATCCCAAATCACTATAATCCAATCAAGAATTGAGAAGATTTAAATCTGGGGTTCAGTCTCAGAAACTGGTCTACTTCCATTTCACCCTAACTACTAGGTGGTTTTTTAAAAATTTATTG